GACTTTCTCTCTTCAGAAGTTCGAATCATAGTTGAGAGTATCATCACTTTTTTTTTGAATTATTTTGATAGACTATACGAAAATACACTGATAATAAAACAAAAAAAGCTCATTGTTTTAATAATGAATCATTGTGAAACTATAGTTTAAACAATCTTTCTAATATATTAACAAAATTAAATGTCTAATTAGTTACTTTTTAATGAAACGTAACATTCGTTAATAAAGTATTTGTTTAAGATAATTTTATTTTTATTTTCTAGAAAAGTGTGAGTGATATATGCATTGAAGATTCGATCATTATTCATACGATTATAGATGAAATACATGTCATAATACTACAGAGAGGTCAATATTCGTTGAAAGTGATCCTTCTCCTTTTACTAAAACCATACCATGAGAAAGATTTTGAAGAAAAAAAGATTTCAAATGTTTTACTATCGGTACCATCTGCAGGCTTATGTAAAATAGTTTTATTTGACACTAGAAGAAAGGCGAGGTTATTTGTCTTGCAAAGGATTTTTTTACTAATTTTTTTGAAAAGTTAATTCATTTTATTTTCTATTTATGCAAAGTAGTAGATAATTACAGTGTAGGATTACCGATTCGGAAGGAAATGATGGTGTTTTCTTTTACCAAAAAAGTCAAAGTTTCTGCAAAATGTTTGACAGTCTCGTGAGCATTCATAATAGAAGAGAAATTTTAGCGATTTTATTTCTACTTCCGAGAGATATTATTATGAAGACGCTTTCTCCTAAACAAAATATCATGGGAAGCCCATGATTTTAACATCTTCTGTTCGGACTCTACCATAAAGACGAATCAAAAATATTATTTGCTACATTTCAGACTCTTCCATCCTCAAAAACACTTGATAACATTATTAGAGCATTAATATGCACGAATAATGTTAAAAATAGAATACATTATTATTTTTCTGTTATCATATTGCGTTTTTTTCGAAAATGTCCGTGTGAAAAAAAATGTAATCATATTTCTGTCGCTCATTATTGGCATGTCTTTTTTAATAAACAATTATTACTTATCATTATTCAACATCAAGTTTATTCATATGTCAGTAAAATTTCAATACGCAATTAGATTTCTAATTTTTTTATCATTGAAAATATTAACGAATGTTATGCTTCATATAGGGAATAAGTGCAACTGATGTGATGAATTTAATTTTTGTCAATGAATCGTTAATGAAAGTGTTTTGACAAAAATTCACAAGAAAAGAACATAATGACGAACCATTTTTTGATTGATAAATTTCCTGCGTATAACACATGTAGAGATTGTTTACAAAATACAAACGTTTACATTTAAAAGATGTATGTTATTCGAAAATTTCACTAAGCCTGAGTATACTACGAATGGTGGGACCTTAAATCTAGATTTTTTTTTTTATCTTCAGACACATTTCGTTACTCGTCAATACGGATGCTTATCATTCATTATCACATGACATGATATGCTATGATTGTTTTTTTAGTGTACATCTACTATATGTTAACAGAACGGTAAAAGTGGTTACAGAACTTTTCTATGAAGATTGCATAGTTATCTTTCTCATCAACAACATTATGATATATATTGTATACGATTCAATTTTTGTCATATTTTTGCAATCGAAATGGCAAGGAATATATTCGAGTTATAGGTTATGGCGTATACAGAATTTTTCTTACGTTACAATAATCTTGATTCTTAATGAATGTTTTTTCAGTTCTGACTAGTTATAGATCCTGCTTAATAATTGCTTTTGAGTCATCCAGAAAGAACAGTCTTTTTTTTCAATCATACTCTCTCTACAGGTGAATATATTTATCGATTCATATAAGTTAATCAATTCTTCGTATTTGCTCTACCGTAGACACATAAAAAGAAGTATACTTTTTTTATTAATATCGACCAAAAGATGCGCCCAATTTTTCGATTAGACAATCCTATAGGGTATATTTCAAGAATTGTATATTTTGTGTATTCATATATTATCATATATTAAGGATGTTCATAGGTTACTGTTGTATTAGTATAATTAGTTTCACTACATGTATCGTGGGACTAATTTTGTGTTCTGCAATAATTCCAATATTTTTAATACATCAAAAATCAAGTACATCAATTACATCTTCTAGTGGTAAGTAGAAAGTTTTTCAATGTTTCATGAATTCTGTCACAATTGTTACTTATAGGTCCATTTTCAACGGAATTTAATATGAATTATCTGTTAACAGATATCGACTTCAACATCATGACCATGACAGCTGATGATATGGCATTAATTTTTAATGAAGTAATTTTGTTCTTGGTTTCAATAACTATTAGATTGAATATAAAATGTATTTCAGTTCAAAGGCCAAACTCTTTCAATAAATAAGAATGGTTTAATCGTTCTATCAATGCAAAAAGTGAATACAACGATTGAATATGATCGTCTGAAACATGTTATTACATGCGATAAATCACCTAGAGCCCTGGAAATTCTTTTTATTATGCGTATTCGTTTACAATATCCAAATAATTTTATATGTAGATCACCGATCTGCGCAAAAGATTTATTCATGATTATCCATAACAAACTTCGAACAATCTCAAAGTTTACAGTGAAGCGTCAAAATGGATTAATAATGAAATTTAGTTTATGTTCAATTGAAAATTTGATATGTAGATTTATGCCCACACCTAGTATTTCGTCACTTGGTGTGAGTAAATAATCAAGAAATATAAAAAACAAACGAACTTATATCAGAGCATCATTGATTGAACTTTGAAAAAATGAGCTCCGTTTCACTATGATGATGTTGTTTCTAACTATACTATTTAGTGTTGTAAATTTTTCTGACTGTGTAGTTTGCTTTTTGATTATTTAATATCATTTTTAATTCAATCGAACAATGTATATATACTTGTCTTCTTTTATCTTACATAATCAGAAAGGAATAAAACGAAAAAATATGATAGATCAATTCACATTAATAATTTAATATAACTGTAAATTTCACATGAAGGTCCTAAAATGATACACGATAACACGGTAAATTATTTTTATTAATATTTTTCCAACGCAAAACAGAAAAACAAAAAATATTTGTTATTTATAGATAACTATGTGATAACATATCAAAAGTATAGATTATCAGTAAAAACTCAATATAATAATAATATCTTGAATTTAATGTCAATCGTTTGTTCTCAAATGCAGTATTTATTAACACAAGTAACATGACGTAAACGTCACTTACTCTTTACTGAAAGGATGCCATGTCGTTGAGCATATGGTTTCCGACAGGGATATATGAGAACTGATCTGATTATCTACAAGTAAAAGAAAACTGAAGGCATAGTCTATGACTACATATGCATATGATCAAGTTCCTGGAAAAAACTACAAGAGAATATGATGGTGGGTGAGCCGAAGACTCACAACCACCCTACAATTACACAACACCGTCGTAACCGGTCAAAAATTTTTGAACGGACCCGGACTGGCCACTTTGTTAGATCATTATTAATCAATTAATAAGAATGACTACAAAAACATTTATTTTTCTTTTTGAACGCAGGTTTTTAAAAATCTCAACGAAGAAACATTATGTTATAGTCGTTTGCATCTGTTAAGTTTCTCAAAAATGAATATGTGTTATTTCTATATATAGCGTGAGAAATAGAGTTATTTATCCATCGATTGATTGCTACACTGCAAATCTTAAAGTTTCTCACTTAGTCATCTCAGAAAAGTCTAATAGTTCTTTTCGAACGACGATCCAAACCTAAATTTGATTTTTATCGAAAAAAGAGTTTAACTGACATAACACAGTTTTGATCGTGGTTTTTAAAAAATGAAATATATTTCGATCATAGAAATGAAACAATGCGAATGAACGGAAGAAAATAGAACGAATAGTTCTTAAATCAACACTGTTTGGTTATTTTGCTATGGGCAAGTCAACTAGTTCTCAACAAGTGTTATCAGAGAAAAATCCCATAACTATCAAATATTATCCAACCGGTGAAGATCAACCGATCCGATTATCAACTTTATCACATACCCACACTGTAACTCTTGTGAATAAAAATAAAATCTTTATGCATATAATAGTATATGAATTAAAAATTAGTGTATGCAACAGTCTCAATTATTTACATTCCAATGATCGATCATGTATTACCTAAAATAAGTAGTATACCTAGTTTGATAATGCAGTGACTCACACTTTTCTCCTGACATGCACCAACTTTTATGTCAAGTTGGAGTGTTGATAGCAAACTCTATTAGACAGAGTTATTTTGAATTTGATTTCGTAACTTTAAGAGTTCGATTCGCTCTCTTTATGGCAAATTTAGTAGCGTGAGAAAAATATGAAATCCCTATTGCATTCGACGAAAACATGAATTCTTTAGTCCGAAAGCTATTGAAACTTTCACTCTATCATTCAGATTTAAAAGATTTTATAGAAGAATAGAAAACTTTTTTTCTAATCTTCATATCATCTCAATATAATAGCGACATTGTACTAAACGAAGTGTCACTAGTGTATTGATTCAATATAGGTGGCACGTAGTAATACACAATGAGATGTCTTAGCCAATAATAAATGTTTGTATTTTGCGTGAAGATCAGTTTTCGAAAAAAGAACGGATGGGATCGGTCTATTTGAGAAATCTTTCCATTTTTTCTGTGCAAAGTAAACTTCTGATTATCAATATTTATTATTTAGGTCGTGAAGATGTTTGTTCGTTAATAAATGACAAGATTCGCTGAATGTAATAATATTAATAAAATATATCTATATAATTGATTATGAGTAGATGTCTTTCTCATTGATTAGATTTTTTTTTTGTTGTGAAGATCTTTTCATTTCATTGAGAATTATTATTTCTAGATGTCTCTTATTTGGTTATTAGGATAATCTTCAAGTCCATGTCTTAGTTCTTGTGAATTTTATTTTTCAAACTATTAAGCAATAAATCGAATTGAATTCAACGAAACGAAAATGAGTATTGGTAATAGTGTGACAACACCGATTGGTATACCATCATTAATCGGTGATAAATCACCAATTATCACGAAAGATGATTGTTCATATTATGGTCGATTTAATACTACTGGCTTTGGTTTTATACGATCATACGAAGGAATTCCGGAAAATATTCTTGTTAATCTAGTTGTCTCGGCAGTATGTTATATGATATAGAATAAATGAAAAACAAATATTTTTTTTAAACACTTTAGATACTTTTATTACTCTTTGTGTATTTACGACGTCGTTTTTCTGATTCGAAAAATATTGCTGATGGAACAGAGTAAAAAGATTCTCATAGTTTTTTTTTGAAAAGTGTTTTTTTTTTAAATTTTTATGATAGAATATCGACTCTTCTTTATGGTCAAAGTAATGCATCACGACATTTTGCTCATCATGTAGGTTATGCTTAAGATTGACCATATCTGTGTTGCTTTTGTTATGCTAGAAACAACTTTTCATATTGCATAGAAAATTATGCTATCCTTTATTATTTTATATTTTCTACAGGCCAACGAATCCTATTGTCATCGATATTGTGTGGTAATGAACAATTTATCTAAAACTAACACTTTCTTTTCTTTCTAATATTTCTTGTGGTGTAGTGCACATACTATTTTTTTTTTCTCAAGATTGTTTTCTAATACATAATGCTTTGAATAAGTTTGTTTATCTTTAGACACGTTGGTTATGGATTCGTGATTTATTTAAAATCAGGTAGTTCATTTTAATAGAATTTGTCTTGTTTGTCTAATAAGAATTTTATGTAGTGATTGGGATGTCTATCAAAATTGTTCACCGGATGCATATTATTATCTTTTATTTCATACGTATTTAATTGGTTATTTACTTTTCGTGACAATTTTTTCTTTGGCTATTATAATGCCAGTTAATTTTCAAGGAACACAAGGTTAGAAAAAAAAAATAATATTAAATTTCATAAGAGGAATTCTCATTTATAGGAATAACTGAACAAAAATTTGCTCATACAACTATTGCTAATTTGCCGGCGGAGTAAATATTTTTATTTTTTCTTCATTGATATCTTAGACAAGTTTTTCTTTGGTTTTAAGTTCACCATTACTCTGGGTTCATGCATGTGCATCAATCTTATTTGTATTAACTGGTATTATTGTAGCTTATTTATATACAAATGCTACACGGTATTATGCGACGGAAGATATGGTATGTAGCAAAAAAAAACTGTAATCTCTTTTTTTTTAAACAAAATTACATTATTTATTGATTATTAGTATGAAGATGAAGTATCAAAAGAAAAAGTAGAATTTTATGTTGTTATGTGATAGTTTTTCGTTGTATTATTATTGTTTGGATGTCATTGAAACTGTTTTCTTAATCTATTGTAATTTCTTTCTGAATTTATTTGAGAAGCTCTTTGTAATTTGTCAAAGATATTTTCTACTAAATTGCTTATGAATTCTTCTCAAATTCGAAAATATTTCCAATAGAATAGTCAATTTTAATTATCAATTAGTTTTTTAGTTCAGAATAAATCATTGTTTGTATATGTTTAGGCAAGTCGAACATTAATGATACGAGATATTCGTAAAACGGCATGTGATGAAGAAAAACTAAGTGCATATTTTCGGTTAGTTTTAAGCATATTTGTATTTATAATTTGTTGTTGTTGTTGTTGTTTTCTTTTGTTGGTATTTATAGAGAAGCATATCCATCATTTCAAATAACGCATTTTACATTAGCTTATAACATAGCTCAATTACAACATCTTTATAAACGCCGGTTAGTTGTTTTTTGATCTTGTTGTCATTCTTGATTGGGAGTTATTTGTATTTAGTGAACTTAATCTTCGTATTTGGCAACAAAGTAAACAAATGTTTGAAGAAAGTGGTAAACGACCTGTTGTTTATAATAATAAATGTGGACAAATGTGTGGTGTAAGTACTTCTAATATTGAACTTTTTTTCTTTCTAACTTTATTCATTATATCCATTATGTACTATTTAGTGTTGTGCAAAAGAGGTTGGTTTTTTTTTTCGTCTACAAAATATTGTTTTCTTTTTTAATGACTTTTTCGATGATAGATTGATGCAATTGATTATTATGAAAAATTATATAATGTATATAAACAACGTGTCGAAGATGAATATTTACATGTTAGACAAAAAAAATGTGGATTAGCTTTTATAACATTTTCAACATCGGAAGAAGCACATCGGTAGTTTTTTATTCTATTTTGTGATTTTCATAATCATCATTTCCTCATAGATCTTAACAAACATTTTCTTTCTTTCATGATCTAGTATGAGAAAAAATCATCCGTATCATTGTATAATCAAGTAAACTAAACATATTCTAGTACACTAGAAAATTTTTATAGCAACAATCTCTATTCTGATCTATCTAGTTGATATATATAGTAAGGAGAATAAAAGATATAAATAGCAATGATCTGATTTCGACAAGCGTTTAATTAATCAGGGACGAATAGAGATGTTTGAGATCACGTCTAGTTTCGAGCTTTGTGCCCGTAAGCAAAAAAGAAATAAAAAGTCCCGAGCTCCAAATTACATTAAGAAAAGTTTTTCAAACTGAAGCTAAAAATTTTAGTCTAGATTTCTATAATTTTTAGCATTATATGATATAAATTGCAGCAATCATAGCAAAATTTAGAAGAGATTACCACTAAAGGAGTGATATCTGACGACTGAGTTAATCAAAATATGAGTATTTAAGGGTTTTCTAGATCTAATGCAAATAAATTCTGAAATATCTTTTCTCTAAGCCAGAATCGGGACCAGTCCAGACATAAAAGAACTATGACTAGAAGCACTGAAAAAAAAGAAGTTAACGAACACTGAAATTACACACAGCTTGATTCCGTACATTTCTAGCCATGAAAATGAATATAGGAAATTTAAGCAGAAAATTATTTTGATCAAACGCGTTTTGTCTTTTGTGAAATTGTTAAACCATGAAAAACTGGAAGAAACAAAGAATTAGATCAAATCATATGTATTAACATACGACAATTGAAAAACTAATTCTCATCTAAGATATTTTAATACATAATTAAAATTTTCTTTTCATCATGAAAAATAGTTATATACAATAATTCACATATCAAACAAACAAACAATATAAATCGAAAATATTTTCATTAAAAATATGATTCATTCTTTTGTGTATTCCATTTTAATTTAATGTAAAAATTTATGTGAATAAGTTTATTTTATATAGAGTTCGTTCAGATTTTGAAGTAACATGTTTTAAACCAGATCGTCGACCAAAAACATCAACAAGTAAATCACTCAGTATTTATGAATGGACTGTTAATTTTGCGCCAAGTCCAAAAAATATAATTTGGTAAGACAAAATTCTCATTAATGAAAAATATCTGCTATCAAATATTTCTCATAGGAAAAATATTCCAATGAGTGAAGCTAGTCATTGGTTTCGTGTCATCGTTGTTAATATAGTATGTCACATTAAACATTTTCATTACGTATGTTTTTAAAAACATATTGGTTTCTTTTTTTTTTTTTTTACAGATTTTAGTATTCTTCATGATATTTTTAACAACTCCCTCAATTGTAATGAGTACAATTGATAAAATAGCTAATAAATATCGTTCAATTGATCCATTAAAAAGAGTAACAAAACAAATTCATTTTCCAGTTGTATTAACATCTGTAATGCCTGTATTATTATTACGTATATTTGCTGCTGCAATGCCATCACTTGTTAGTATAACATCATTACTTGAAAAACAATGGAAAAAATCTGCATTAGATAAATCAATGATGATTAAATTATTTGTTTTTCTTTCCATGATGATACTTATTTTACCATCATTAGGTTTAACAAGTATTGAAGGATTTCTTCGTTGGGTTTTTGAAAGTGAAGAAGGTATTGCACAAAATAGTAGAATTCGTTGGATGTAAGTGAAAATTAATCAAGAATATTTTTATATGTTTTTGTTTTCATAAAACAGGTTCTAAAAGGGACGTTTAAGTCTACAGGGTAGAACTTTGAACTGACGTCCTCTTCCCTCTTCTCTTTCCGTGATAAACAGCTTATCACAGATATGATAGACGTTTTATGGATGATATATCGTAACTGTAATCCACTGCTTGCACTCATATTGGATCTACAAGAAGATCGCGGCTAAATTAGAACAATCCTGTAACGCTTGATGCCTGCAGGTATCTGAAGCTGAGTAAAAAATTGTTTTACTGAATTTTCGGCTCAATTTAAGATACTTACTAGAAAATAAAATGAAAGAATTTTGATCTGAAACTCAGCCTGTACATAGGTATAATGTTCCTTAGAATGTTCTAAAAGTTTCAACCGAAAAGAATGCTCCCATGTCGATATATTGATTTTTTAACTAACAGTCATTTGCTACAGATATGTCACGAAAATTAAGTTTACTTTAGTATTTAATATTTCAATAAAGGAACATTCTTTCAGGTTGAAACTTTTACGATTTTTCAAAGGCCATTAGATTTATCTATGAGCGATATTACAGATCGAAATTCACTAGAATAATCCTACTTGTGAGCTCAAATGGTGTGTGACAGATATGCAGCACCGTACAAAGGTTGAAACCGAAAATCTCGAAAAAATTATGTTTCTAGTAAATGGTAACTCTAAACACGCGTAATTTTTTATGAGTGGAACAGAAGACTCATCGCTATAGTCCCATCCCTAGCTGAGTTATCAAGTGAAAATGAAATGAATAAGCGAGTACTTTATATATTTAGCTTTAATTATCGAGTTATTGTTATTGGTTTTAAGATATTGGGCTTAACAAAGCATGAGATATGTCATGTTTCACACTTTAAACCTGAAATAGTTGTATTAATAGTTTTCTATTATTTATTGAATAGGTGTATGTTTTTACCGGATAATGGAGCATTTTTTGTGAATTATATAATAACATCAGCATTTATTGGAGCTGCTATTGAATTATTACGTTTAGCTGATCTTGTCTTTTATATTTATATAATCATAACAGCTAAGTCAACAGCTGAAAGACGTGTTATTCGTCATGTAAGAATGCAATTTGTTGCTTTTTTTTGACTATTATGATAAAGACAAATTGTTGAAAATTTTAGGCTCTTCAATTTCCATTTCGTTTTGGTGTACAATATGCTTGGACATCAGCAGTATTTTGTGTTATTGTGGCATATGCTGTAGCTTGTCCATTAATTACACCAATTGGTAAAAAATATTTGAACATTTTAATATTTAAATTATTTTTTTTTTTCTTATGAATAGGTTTAATTTATATGTTAATTAAACGTGCAGTTGATAAATATAATTTAGTCTTTGTTTATGATACTGAAATAGCTGACAAAAGTGTTCATCGTTTAGCAGGAAATTTTATAATAATTGCATTAATTATTCAACAATTAACATTACTGTTCTTTGTACTTGTTCGATCTGGTTTGTAATTAATCCAAAAAAAAAATATAAAATAAATTAATTATATTAATATTTTAGAAACATTAACTTATTTATCTATGACATTATTAAGTACTTTTATTTTGACAAGTAAATATGAAATTTTTCAAATCAATGAAATAAATAAATTTTTTTTTAGGTGGTATTTATTTTGGTTTTTCATGTTTTGATTGTTGTGGTCGTTGGAGTGTACGTAAACAAAAGCTTTCAACAGCAGTATTACCTGAGGTCAGCACTTGTTTTCTACCATTTACTATTAGATATCAATTATTGAAAGATACATTTTCAAATGTAAGAAATCGAAAAAGAAATCAATTAATTGGATATTGCAATTTATTATTTTGGGATGAGAAGACTCTTGTTAATTGTTCATTTATTATATCTGAACTCGTTTTCGGTTAAATAAGACTAAATCTTTTATTATGAGAAGTATTGAATTTATTTGAAATGAATTTGGTAAAATACAGATGACAAACAGAAGAATGAGTAATTTGACATAATTTATTCAATCGAACAAGCTTTTTCATGACTGGCATGTATCTTTCGTAAGTTACAATTTAGACAAATAAAAACCTTGAAAGTAAGATAGATCGAGCTACTGATCATTCGAAAATCTATACTACTGCTTGTGATGTAATATTCCGATTGTACCTAATTATTGGATGTACTTTATATTGATTTCAAGAACTTATGAGTATATATGAAAAGTGTTTAATAAACTCGAAATCAAGTCAAGATAATCAATTTAACACAATATATTGTTGAGTATTATTAACAGGAGACGAAGTCTACTATTTTATATTAGGGATAATTAGAGATTCAGTCTACCTAGAGCTACTTGAAAATTACTTAATTAGTTTTTTGACCATTTTAAATTCCTGCTTGATCACATGATTATGGATTTCTTAATTTGTAATGATCTTCAAATACTTGTTCTCGGACAAAGGATTGCTTTAGAGTATATAGTAACTATAATTTCTAGGAAAGAATTATCTATTTCGAGGATTGGTCGATAATTATTTGAATATGTTGTGAAATAAAATTATCTATGAACCCGTTTGGTCATGATCTTCTCTACATGTGGTTCTACGTGGCATTTGAAATGATGGCTGTCTAACCAGCTTTCATAGAATTTGAGAAACAAGCAGATTCTACTAATTGTGTCTTTGAATATGGCAAAGGATTTAAGGAATTGACATTATCAGAAACAAAAATTATATTTAAAGATCTTTGAATGAAATTAGAAGCAATCAGTTAAAAAATGGAACTTTTTTCTAATGTAAATAGCTGAACTGTTTAAAGTAACGACTAGATAGTGTTAATCTTGTGATCATTCGTGTAACTTCTCACCTATGATAATTATTGACATTTTCGAGAGTCCACTCTCGACTGATCCTGCGATTTCCGAACAACTTCTTCTTGATTATATTTTAAAGCTTTTTTTGTTGCTTATGGGAATTTGACATTTACTTATTCTTTGTTCTATAATTATTTTCATTTATAGACAGGTGGAAATCGTCAAAAAATGGATGATTTAGGTGAATTAGAAGAAATGGAAGGTCGTGAAACTAAACAACGAGCAACATCGGTAACTATTGATCATAATAATAATATTTTATAGAGTAATGCTTTTTTTTAGCATTATATTCCGACAATTTTAAATGCATGCATCGAAGAATTTGATATTCCACCAAGTACAACAAAAGTTCGTCGATGTTCAATACGTGAGCCATTACAACAAGGAACCTATGGAACACTTGATCAAGTTTCCCAACCAATTGTTGTTGGAACTGGTGATGAAAATGATCTACTTACAGATTAGGAGCAAAGAAAAAATATATATATACATGCATATTCATTTTAAAATTTATTCTCGCAATGATATTATTCTATTCGTTTCGTACAGTATTTCATGTTCTTATGTAGGTATTGTCTTATCGAGATACTTTATTATGTGCCTTGTACATCGATTATATTCGAATTATGTGACGAAAAACAAAATATATAAATATATGTTCGTTGTTGTTATGTTTTATTATTTTATTGATCTGTTGTCGAATTTTGTTTCAAGTGAATCGTTGTTGTTAACATAAGATATTTATGTTTTAATCGATATATTTGTTGTTTCAGATTTATTCATAGTAATTTATTGCTGTTAATCAGATACGAAAACAACATTATCGTTATTTATTTGATAATTAATCCATTTATTAAAGGTATGCCCACTGTCCAGAAATTGAGTATTCAAAAAAATCAGTGTGAAAATCAGTGTTTGAGGCGCGAACGTCGGGACTATGTGTGCCAGTCTTCGTAAATCCTTCAATGAAGTTCTATACGACACTAATTCAAGCATCCTTATTGTAGAATATCTTGAGAGTCTGTGATGTGACTAGCTCATGATTTTCACTTTTAGAAAGTGAAGATGAAGACGCATCAAATCCTATAGTATAGATTGTATGAACTCGTATATTTAAGGTTTACAATTAACTCTTCTACGAAAAACCTACTGTCGTGAGATGTTCATAGTGAATCTTTAATTGTCAGGAGTATATTCAAAGCTCCAATCAAATATATAATTCGATACATCTTTATCTCCACTCTCTAAAAATGAACACTACAGGTTTATACCGTGTTTCTATCAAAAAGACAAATAGTTGTTATCGAAAATTTATTATTTTGATATTAGTTGAAGATTGATGAAATTTTGCACAAATACAAAATATTGTTTTTATGAACGGTGCATAGAGAAAGAAAGTTTTCTCAAACTTTCTATACATTAATAAGGTCCCACCACTACTACTTTTGGATTATCGTAATTAAAATTCTAAAACAGAAGCCCATTCAATATGCTCCAATTTGAGACAAACAAAGCTCATGAATGATCAAACATTTAAATTTGCTTATTAAAAAGAGGCTGATTTTCATCAATCAACTAGTCCAATCTTTTATGTATTAAACAAAAATGTTTTTTTTTTTACATTATTGTTCCGATTTCTCGAAAAATTAAAAAATTCCAATGAATTTATTTCTCTCTATTTGCTCATAATTTTTTAAATATCTAATTCATTTTTTTTAAATGTTATTCTTTTAGATGGCTGATGATTTAGGTGATGATGATTTCTATCTTCAAGAAGAAATTCCACCTGAAAATAATGATATAACTGATAAAAAAGTTAAAACAAAAAAAAACAAACAAAAAATTTTACCAAAACGACCTCCAGGAACTTATTCTGATTTAATAACAACAATTCGTATTCATTATAAAAAATCCAAAAGTCAATATGAACTTGATGAACTTCTTTCAATCTTTAATGCATCAATATCAGCTTCATCACCATCAACATCTACAATATCACTTGATGAATATTTAAATGAATTAATTTCAATAAATAAATGGTCAAAACAAGCTGATCTTTCATCAGCACCAATTGTTTTAATTATTGCACAATCTGCATTACGTTGTATTGAATTAGGAAAAATCTTAAAAAATTCTTCATCATCAAAATTATTTACATTTCATTATTTATTTGCTAAACATAAAAAAGTTTCTGATCAAATTGAATTATTAAAAAAGCCAACAACATTATTTAATATTATTATTGGAACACCAAAACGTATTGATGATATTCTTGATGCACATGTAATTAATCTTAAACGATTAAAATTTATTTTAATTGATTGGAATTATCAAAATATAAAACAACAACGTTTAATTGATTTAAATCAATTAAAAATTGAACTTTCTCATTTGTTATGTGAACAAAATGTTTTATATAAACGTTTTTTTAAAGAAAAAACTAAAATAGGACTTTTTTGATTGTTTACTTTTCATGTTTTGTTTTTCTTTCTTTGTTATTTCAGATGGGTGGACCAGCATATATCGATGGAAAATCACATCCCGAAACAGATAATTTTCTTCCATGTAAATTTGTTATTGGTGGTATAACATATTCATCAGCAGAAAATTATTTTCAATGTGCAAAAACAACAAATGAAGCAGATAGAAATATGGTTTTAATGTCAGGCTCAGGTTGTTCAGCTTGGGCTGCTGGACAAAGAGTTAAAGTTCGATCCGATTGGGAATCAGTTAAAGTTGATGAAATGTATAAAGGAAATTTAGCAAAATTTCAACAAAATGAAGATTTAAGAAATGCACTTTTAAGTTCTGGCAACAGTTCAATTTGTTTTTCAGGTTCGACATCATTTTGGAATTATTGGAATGGTCTTATTTTAGAAAGAATTCGAGCAGAACTACGTCAATATGGTGAAGAAGATGTTCGTCATGCATTGAAAATACGCGATATGATGGAAAAATTTTCCCATCAAAATAAATAATAATTTCCGTTTTCATTTTATTTTCTTATAAAGTGTTTCTTTTTCTTTTCATTCAAAATAAAATTTCCATTAAATGAAAATTAATATGCTAAGTAGTTCTTCTAAATTATGCATCAAAGAATCAAAATATAGAGCTTTTTTCAATGATGATAATAAAAAACGTTTGTCATGATTTATGGGAAACTTGAAAAAGAAATTAAAGTTAATTTTTCTGAAAGTCATACAAAATAAAAAAAAAAAGGAACAAGCAAAACGACATAAAGAAATCATGAACGGAAAATATTCAATATAACAAGTCGGTCTTTAACAAATTCTTTTAAACGAGGGCGTATGTTCTCAAATATTTAAAAGTTTATTATTACATTATTCGATGTAACGGGTAGCGTAGACTAAATAAAACAATATCATTTTCTTCTTACAATCATTATGACCCATTTTCAGAAAGTCATTCAATACAGAATTTTCCGCACTGAAAAACTGTTTCATTTGTCTTTTAAATAAAGTTTTCTTGTTGTTAGAGCAAAATTAAAAAATATGAATGTCTGCTCGGTTAGGTTAAGTGTGATTTTTGATTATCGGCAGATATCTATCTATTCTTTTTTGTCTTTATTACTAATGATCAATCAAAAAGTAACGTAATTAGCGTGAACACAATAGATGACTTTATGATTTCCACCTCTATGACCTAGTTTAAGGTTCATGATGTTATTGTTCGTGAGGAAAAAGCTTAAACATGTTTTCCGAAATGAGAGGCTTAGTTTATGAAGTAATCATTATCCTGCTGTCGGATGTAAAATTTAAGTCTAATCAAAATATTGTGACTGCTAAGCTGAAGAATAAAAAACGATTAAGGTGTATCCGAAAAAGAAAAAACACAAATACGTAATCCTGTCAAAACAGATATTTTCCAGTCTTTACTTCGTCATTATTCCCACAAATATTTTTCCGGAAACTTTGAAATATGCAGAAGATTGTGAAGAGTTTGGTAGCGTGTTGGACGTTCGAGAAAAATGTTGTTTAAAAGAATTTGCATCATATTTCCATTTCTTTAGTCGCCACAGTTGAACTATTAAGTAAGTGCTAATATTTTAAATTTTGTTCCAATAAGAAAAAATTGTTTGAAAAACACGTCAAACAGTTTTGTATAGCTAAAAAATTCTTTGTCGAATGACTTCCTGAAAGTGGGTTGAAATACTAGAAGAAAATGATATTATCGTGTTTAATCTGTGCTACCCATTATTATACTGTATGTAAAATATTTACTGATTATTTTGAGTTTTGAAATTAAGAAAGATATATGAACAAGTTCATTTATAAATCAGTATGATTCTTTATTTTTACGACAAATACAAATAATGTATCGTATTAATTCATATACGATTCATTGAGACTAATCATTCTCTCCATCGAAATTTAATTTGTATGAAATGACCAGTTCTATACCATGACATTTTCGGCAAATATTTAAAAAACAAGTGTCAAAAATATCTCACTTGGCAATCGAAAATTCTCTGTGGACCTTCATTTTATACACTTAATTAATTTTTGTGTCTGAAAGAGCATGTCAGAATGTAGGCTGTGACCGAACTTTTTTTTTTTTTATTTTTACTCTTTAAATTGAGAAAAGGGACGAATAGTTCGATGTTTTAAAAAGCTCTCAAAAAAATGGTGCTTGATAATAAAAGTGCTCTTCCATATAATATTAACTAAACTTAATTCAAAGTAAAAAGACCCTCATGCCCTACATCTTGACATGCTCTTTTAGACAGAAAAATTAAACATATAGAATGAAGGCTCACGGGAAATTCTGGATTGCGTGATTACAAAAGCATAAATAGAGAAAACAAAGAATAATATTTCCTATTATTGTCTGAAAAAAAAACATATTTTTCAAGCTGAACGTGACAGAAATCATCGAAAATCTTGACAGAAAAGTAGGTGCCGAATAAAAAAACCATATCATTTATGAAAGATAAGATCTCGATCTATCTTTTTAGGCATTTTTTTTGGATAGTTAGGATACTCTTAATTTATTTTATCGACTAGTAACAATATGTAAAGCACTTAATAATAATAAAACATTAATAAAAATCTTTGTATTACATAAATAATAAATTTTAGTATCGTTCATTTTCTTATCAATTCTTGTTTTTATTTTGAATAACTAAATCGATCATACGTATAATAATCATCTTTATAATTTTCGTAGTCAATTGCGAGGATAAGACAAGATTTTTTCTTAATTTTGTCAATCATTAGTATCATCAAATAAAAGTTTTGCTTTTAATAAAGTGTAAATGTACACCATATCAAAATCAATTGTAAAATACTATTCTGAAATGAACAATATGCATTCGTATTAATTTTTATTTATCTGAAAATATTTTTTTTAACATTGAAATGCAATAAATAATTAGGATCAAGAAAAAAAAATAAATCTAAAAGTCAAATTCAGTGTCTCAATTGAACGCATATTGAGAGATGTTCAATTGATGACAAAGACAACTATAATATATAAGAGGTTTCAAAGAATGTTAGTTTAATATCGAGAAAATTTTTCAATAGAATTTAATCTTATGAATAAATTTCTTTATAATACCTATTAAAATTTCGTATCAATGCTCATTTTATTGATTAACTCATCAAGATTTACAGAAGCTATTAAACTTTTGACAATAAATTTCATTCTAGAAAACAATTTGTACTCGTATCTCTGTTTTCATGTTATTAATTATAGTAATTTTTGAAATAAAAAAGAAATAACGAAGAAGTCAATTAGCAGGTGCAAGACACGAGCAAGTCAGTATAAAGATAATTCATTTAATTCTCTATTGTTCATAAACAGTTTCATGACGAAACTAATTTATATTAATGATCTGTTCAATTTATAGCTTCTGTATAGAAGATATGCACTCGGTACATCTTTCTCTTCTTTTTATACTTCAGTACGATTGAGAAAAAAAGAGAATAAATTAAAAAAAAAATGAATAAACAAGAAAAAAAGTAGGTTATAGTCTAGCTAATTTTCTTGTGTCGAAAATATATAATTATTGAATAAAGAAAATGAATTTGTCGTATGTTCTTTGCGTTTTTTTTTCTCTAGTGCGTATCTACACATAGTTTTCAGACCGTCAAATAATCAGAAAAGATGAAATGATTTTTCTCAATAAATTACAGAGAAAATTTCCTAAAATACAGGAAAATTTTATTTTATCTCCAATCGTTTTCTATCTAATTAATAAGATATGTATAGTCATACATATTATACATTTAAGCTAGGTTACTGAAAAAATTTTAAAACGTATTAGTTTTAAAATATCTTCTAATGAGAAATGACGTTTTATTTAAAATATAAATAGAAATTGAGTTCTACGTGAAATATTATTATTAATAATTGCATGTATTTAATAAATAGAAATGTCTCATTAGATGTATGACTTCAATGATGTTTATAAATAAGTTTTCTCGTGTGGCTATTAAAATTTCTTATGATAGTCTATTAGTAATGCAAATTTTCTTTATCAATCAATTCAACTTGTCCTAAAAATATAAATTTATTCAATCGTTTTGCGTCTACTAAAATATTTACCGATGAAAATATTTAAAAGAAAACAACGAATATCATCTATTAATAGTATTTCTATTAGAAATATATATATTTCATGCTCTTAAATAGCTATTTCTTAATTGATTAGATTATATTTAGTCCAAAAACATTTCTTTTCTTTTCTGTTGGATGCATCTTCAAGTTTTATTCTCTACTTCATTATGATTGTTGTTCATACACAAGAGGATTATATGTCTAGCATATATTATCTATCCAGAACAACAGCATTTTTACAAATATAAAATATTTTGTTTGTTAATTATTTCTCTTTTTCTTTCTTGTTTCTTTTATCTGTTTATTTCAGATCAAAGTCTTACATATATATATATCTGTTCATTATTTGCCATACTTCATTTTAGAGAGAAAAAAATGCGTCTACATGCTTGTATCATTTTATGCACAATTGCGATTTTCTTATTCATGGTCTCATCATCTGTTAGTGTTGCTGAGGTAGTTTATAATCCTCGAGCAAGAAAATTTTCCAATGTTCCATGGCTTGCAGCTCCTCATTTTCAAGCTTTATCAAAACGTGGTCGATTCGTTTTCCGTGAAACATCAAATGAAAATTTACATGATACAAAAAATGATGATGTCGACAATTCTGATCCTCATGTTGATAAGCGCAATTGGCGATTATAAAGAGAAAAAAGAAAACAATATGAAATTCAATATTATCAAAGAAACAAAAATACCATCGCGTTTAAAAACTTATCTCATTTTCTGTTGTGGATATATATATTGTATGCATTGAAAGAAATTATTAAATAAATGAGAGAGTAACCTTATTTTCGAAAAGATAGAAATGAATTCAAGATGAAAATAAAATGGCTTGCATTCATATGGAAATAATCAACAAATTTTTCATTTAGAAAATTCATATTGCAAGGTCATATAACTATACTCATAAATTCATTAATATTGAAAATAACGATTAATTTTAGTTATATATGCGATATAATAATTTATCATTAGTCTTTTTTCTTCAATAGAGAAAGAGTGCAAGTCAATAAATACAATTAATCATACCTAGAGACTTTAAAAAATCAACAAGATTACATTAAAATGAATATTTTCATCTATTTATTTCCGTGATTTTGATAAAAAAATCATTTTTATTTCATTTGCTTTATTAAAAATTTTCATTTCTGTTTTATTATTGGAAACGCCATTTTTCTCATTCTATCAGATTTCTTCAGAATATCATTTCACACAGAAATTACAAATCGTGCTCTTGGCTTTTATTTTGTTTTTTTTTTTAATTTATCTTTATTTTCTATCTAACTATTTTTTAGCATGAAATTCATAATTTTTCAAAAGCTATCAAGTTTTATCTTAATGATGCGATCATTCAGATTTTATTTAATCATTTGACCTATCGTTTCTTTTTTTTTGTCGTATGTCGAGAGTACTTCATGTTCCATTCATCGTTGGCAATTGTTTCTATTCTCCAGAGCATTCAAAAGCAAATACTGTGTTTTAAATTATACTCTTAGTAAGAAAACTATATCGAGTTCTATCACAAGTCATTCTTTGCATTTCCCGTCATCATATTATATTGTCTTATTCAAATGTCAATTTTTTTTTTTGTAAGAAAATATAAAAAGATAGACGCCATCAATATGTTGACTTGATTCTAAAAATTTTTTTATGATTATTTAACATGATAGATTTATCTTTATATAGTGATTGCAATATGATGATAAAGTACCCAGTTTCAAACATGATTGAAAAGAATCAATCTGTTTATATTAAAAAAACACATCTAAAACAAAACTTCGTGTTCGATAAAATTAAATAATTCGACAATTTAAATAAGAAAATGCTTCATTTGATAAGAAAGATAATGTTTATATGAAAACTATTATGCATCCTTAAAAAGTTTCAATCGACGAAATTTAATTTAATATATTTCTATTTTCTTGAAATAGGAACTTCTCTCTACAATACGATTCATGAAATTCAAATTTCTAACAAGTTCACTTTTGGTATGAATAATTCATTTTGTTACCTTTCTATCAATGCATATATTAGATACTAAGTCGGTCAAACACTATTGAATTATCACACATACTATCAACACTATAATTATATGCATAATTATAATATATTTTAATGATGATTGTTTTAAAGAGACGTTCATCTAATAATATAAAGAAGAATACAATTCATGTTAATGAAGTATTATTAACGATTTCGAAAGTTTTGATGGAGACACATCTATATAATAGATAAGCCAAATATCTGAATATGTGACACAATTATTTTGATCAACACAACATTAATATCGAAAAAGAACTTGAATATTCAATAATGATTTGTATCATATGTGATCAATATGATCCATTAGAAATTGTATTGTGCACAAGTTACCAGATATTTTTGAAATTTTTTCATTTACTGTAAAATTCAATGTTTATTTGAAAACTAAATACGAACTTGTTTTTCTATAGACTATGACTTTTATTAGATCAGTTTAAATATGTCCTTAAAAAACATTATTTTCGTTATGACGGTTAAACAATTAATATATTAACATATCATTGGCGAATTGACTATTAACTACATCTTTAGATAAACATTTTTGATCTTCTTTCAATGATAAACATCCATATCTATGAGCATTCCCTAGTCAGTGCACTCATTTAACAATTATGACTCGCTATTATAAGTACTTTAATTACTTGTGGGAGTTCTGGAACAATTTTCTATATATTTATGTATTTGGTGTACTCTCCTACACACTTAGGAGTTTGTTCTTATAGAATTACTCATAGGCGAAAGCATGAGTACGCAATGTAGTACTCATTCTCGTTTTTTTTTTCACAGAATATGTAGCAGAATACTTACACTCTGACATAGATAGAAAATAGATTTGAATTTCGCACTTGAATAAAAATCGTATAATTGAGTGGAAAATAGAACAAAATTATTTTTGATGACTTATTCATCTTTCTTCTACTGGTTTTTGAAAATTCATTTATACTAGTTTAATGATTGATAACTTAAAAAAGAAACTATTTGATCGGTGAAATTGAGTTATTTCTTAAAATATAAAGATCGAAATCCATTCTAATTTCATTTTCTAAATATAGATAAAAATATTCTTGTACAGCAAATGTTAGTTTTTCAGATCGTTTGTGACAAATAATGAAATAAAAGACGAATGGATAAGCTTCTCAAAAAATCGATCGACATCTTTAACTAGATCACAGTTGATTATCGGTTTAAAAATATTTGCTTGTATTTATCTGTTTCTCTTTGTTAATCTTGTTCTATTCTCAATTAATGATTTAATGTCATTTACTTTTTTTGAAATATAGATTTTAAAAAAAGCTGCATCTGTAGAACAAATAGATACATGTTTTATTTGATTCTGTTTAATAAATAACTGATCATATACGTATTAATTTCTAAGTTATTAACTTTCTTTTTTTTTGTAATTGAATTCAATCAGAATTTCGAAAACTACATAATGAATTTTTGTACTGGTCTTATGGATATATTCTTTTTGGAAAAAAAATCGAATATCTAACATTTGTATCCCTAATAGTATTGAATGCCATAAAAAATAGTGCTGCTCAACGGGAAAATCATTCAGTTAGACTTACTTCAAACATTTCTTCCTGGTAGTAAGAAATGTAAAATTTTTCGAAGAATCTAGTATTATGCTGATTTCGATAAAGTGAATTGTCTTTTCTTTAGCGATTTTTTCTAAATTTGGACTTGCTGACACTATTTATTTTGCATCAATGGATACAGAATTTCAAGATCTTGGCGTGAGTAGATATAGATGGATGATAGCGTTTTCTGGTCGACCTTATTCGCACACCTACTTTACATACATACATTCAATGTTTCATAATTACCTCTCCTTTACCATATGGTAGGTTATTAAGAAGTTCATTTCGATTGGTATCAATCATGTTAAACTTTCTACGATCTGACAAATCATGACATCATCATCCTAAATTTTCAGTTTACAGATAAACTACAGTATTTCAGTGAAATTTTATCTTCAATATGGACGGATTCTAAATGACCAAGTACACCATCTCGATTAATCTCATCAACTTATGTTTTAAGTCAATCCATTTGTTCATTAATGATCAAGACGACCAACAGGGTTTTCACCAAAAGCTGACGTGGATAGGTGTGGGTATTATTTTTACTCTTACAATGACATTTACCCAGACGCTCACATTTGGTTTCGTTTTTATTAGCGATACAATCACCGAGTGCCAGTTGTTTTCATTCTTTCAAAAGCATTCAACTACTCATTTTACAAACTTTAATATTTACTTAATTTCATTGTTCGATATATCATTAGCAATGACAGGACAAATTATGTCAAATATTCTATTTGAATAGAACTTTTATTTTGAAAAATTGTTTTACTCGTTTTGCATGCATACGTCAATCATACATAGACGTTCTTATTATCGTAGTTCGATGTGGATAGAGGATGACATTTAGAACTATGGGCTATGTTAAGTTTGATTTGATACATATCCACTCTAGTCCTGAGATTGCAATAAGCTTTTTTTTACTGTTGCTATTTAGACATTAAAAAAAGGTAACGATGTGAAGCGATATAATTAATTTTGATTTTCAATAGAAGAGTTTCACACAGAAAAATATTCCCTACAAATCTATTATTACGTTCAATGCATGAATCAAAAAAGTACAAGAACGCTAATCGATGTCTCGTAAGTAAAAAAAGAAAAAGAAAATTCGCAAAGGACTATGTGAATGCGATGCCAATCGATCTCAATTTTAGAAAATATGATTCAATTAAGATAAGAAAGATAAACGAGTTTTACCTAAAGTGAATCCTGTTCTGTTGAACATTCTCATTATCTCTCCTACTCCTAAGAGCTTATTGAAAACTAGCTCATTAATTTTCATTATCTCAAATAAAAGATAAAAGTCAAATTATCAAAATCAACGTTTTATGGAATTTACTGAAGATGAACGGACACTCATGTTGAAGATTTAAAGATGTTTGTGCCATTCCAAAATATAGGTGTTTCTGATATAGTTCGAACAAATTTTCAGTAACTCACAGTTCTCTAGAATATCGCGATATAGAGTACAGATTTTGTAATAGCAAAGAAACCTGTTGTACATTTTGTCCAAACTTGTTTACTTGCGCCATCTATTTTTTGTTTAATACTTTTTAAAATTTTCTTTGATGCCAATATCATGAATTTGCTTGCTTACAGTGGAACTGATATCAACTTTTATTATTTGCTTTTCTACTTTCATCGTACATATCAATGATAAACTATAGAACAAATCCATCGAATCAAAATTATTTATAATTTTAAAGTTCATTTTACTTTTTTAATCATTTGATGAAATATAAAAAAAAGGTTGAACAATAATCTTTTAGTTATGACCTCTAATACAATTGAAAAGTATCCTTTAAATCGTCGTAAAGATCATGTTAATCGAAATTTTCAACTTTTCGATGATATTAATAAATCAACTAGTAAAAAAATTTCTTCAAAATTACAAACAAAATCGAATATTCGTAAACCTGAATTTATTCTTAGTATTCATCATAAAGAAAGTCTTCATATAAATAATGGTTTACGTCCATTAATGTTATTATTAAAAGAACATAAAGGCAAAGAAAT